TAAGCACGGCTCTGCGAAATTCAATGGAAACATCAGCTCTACTCATATCATTGCGGAAAAATTCTACTACCATACTTCAACACTTTAAACAAAATAGGGTGAATACATCTCGTTTACTTGAATTAACCAGACCTTTTTATATCCATCTATATCTTAATTTTTGTTCGCAATGATTTTATATATATATCATATGGAAAAATCATGCCAGTATTTTGAATTAGTCTTAACTTGAGGCTCTTGGCGATGTTCGTCATTTGACATGATGAAAGGAGGCTCAACTCATCTTCGCACGAAACGTTGGTGGATGTCTCGTGAACTGCATCAACCTGAATGTCATTTTAATGCCAAACGGCTGCAGTGCAACGCGAATCGGCCGAAGTCTTATGGTGAGATTTACCTACGAATCTCTTCATCATACACTTTCATACGAAATGAACGTCTTCACATCAAAATTATAAATAGTTGCAAGTGAGTAGTTTGAATAAGTTTCTTAAAATAAATTCGAATACTAAGTGAATGTAACCACCATGGGTAAATACAAAAACAAAATAAGTCTTATTTTGTAACTACCAAAGTACTTTGCACAAACAATTCCTCCTACTTCCATCTTGTTACCTTTTTAAACCAGGACAAGCAATTCACCACTACACTCTTGAAATATCAACAGACAGGCGGGAATGATGCGAACTGGATGTATTTTGGGCGGTACAGGGCGCATAATCAACGAATTTGCGATATCAGCTTCTGGCGCCACCCGGATACCGGAGAGCCAAGATTACTTAGTCTCGGCGAGGATAGATTCATGGTTTGTACAGAATTTTTGGTAGTTTTATGAGGCAAAAATGAGGTGAGAAAATAATGAGACCTGACTTTTCATTTTAAAGTAAAAAAGTGGCTTAGTATGAATTCTTTAATTGGACGCCTCGGAAACCGAAGGATTATACTGGATTGAAGGAATAAATCCTCGACTGACCCGATCGATCCGTGCTGTGCATTCGTCTGGCAGGTGACAGACGTCGTTACGGAAAAGCGCAGCAAGTACACTAAGCCAAGAAAAAGGTGGTCAGCTTCCACTTCTCATACCACATTTAGTTGCATTTCATTCTAAATGAGATGAAATTTTAGTAGGCAAGGCTATCTGAGATACGAGAATAAAAGTTGGGTTTCGAGGAATCTTTTGTATCATACTTTTTTAGCTTACTTCAATTTTGATAGAAAGTGTTTAGTAAAGACTTTTAAAGATTGATCCCACCAGAAAACGTCAGCGGATTTCACTTGACTAACTGCCGAATGGCTTTACTGGAATATATTTTTGACTCTGTTACCAAAGCAATCTTCTTCGATTCCAGTAAAAACGTGCTAAGCTTTCGTCCATCGAAGGCACATATACACACTCACACACACTAAAATACTTCGAGGTTGACATGACTTGAACCAAACAAATCACTTTATATCGCATCAAAAGCTAAGGTATATGGTATATAGACAGTGTTTTGGGATGAACCGGTGGGTTTTTTTGGCTCGTTGGCTTTAATATGGTTTTAAGGATGATGCCCTACTATGAGGAGGTCCGTCATACAACGAACAAAAGGTTAGCACGTAGGTATGCAAAAAAACTGAGTTTCTAAGAATCCCTTGAAAGATTAGTGTCGGAATAACTTTCATTTCGTTTGAAGATGCGAGTAGAAAAGATTTGTAAATTGGCATTACTAGAAGCTGTAGGGGGATACCTTGGAGCTGATAGTGTATCTTTGTGCGAATAGCTCCTCGGCGCACCGCCTTGCAAGGATTCATCAAGTCTCAGAGTAGGGCGCCAAGGATTTATTTGCATAAATCTACAGTCACGGCTCCAAGTTAATCGTTCTACAGCTTCTGGTAAAGCCAACTTGCGAATCCCTTCCCTTCGCCTCTTCAAACGCAATGAAAGTAACTCCAGCATCACATGGTTAGCACTTTTTCATTAAAATCGAAGGAGATTGCTTCGGAGACAGCGTAAACACGAATGTTCCAGTAGAGCCAAACAACAGCTGGTCAAGAGGTATCCGCCGTCCTCTACTATCTGTCTCCAAATCTCCTTAAGCGACCTTGACTAAGGAATTCCTTGTAGAACTATTCATACAGCTACCATTTATAGAACTTCTGTATAGTAATTACCCTTTCGGCTTAATAGATAAGAATATATATTTAATGAGGCATAAATTTTCAGGCGTAGACTATTTTGCCGGAAATAGACAAGCCGATATTCGTTATGATGTTTTAATCTTGCCGTCATGTTGTTATTCTATGAAGATAGGAGAACTAGTGAAGAAAGGGGGGCTATAGGCAGCTTTCAAAGAATCTGTGACGTTTTCTTCTCTTAGAGAGAAATATGACTTTTTAACAGGATCCGTCTGTTACTAGATTATGTGCTCCTGTGGTTAACCTTATGTTGGCGAGACCTGTCGGCTGATCCGCCAAAGATTAGCGGAGCAAAAAATACTTTTGAGGGCAGCTGGGTTGAACGGTCAGAAGTGGCGGTACACATGGCGGAGAATGGGCACGAGATAGAATGGTTTCGTACGTGGCAAATAAAAAAATTAATTCCATACTTTGACGGACTAAAAAAATTTCCTTATAAATCTTTTGTTAAAAGAGCTCGGATAAACACTTTTCATTTATAATTATCTAGTATTCTCTTACTTTTACTATTTTACGAGTTCCTGCAAAAATTCTTCTTTCCAACATTTGCTATCCCCCAAAACGGATTTTGTATATTCTTGTTCATTCAATTATTGCCGACTTCCGATGAAGAGCCACCTGGAGATATCCTTTTCTGGATATTCGCCACTGCTACGCTCCTTTGAATCATATTCCATTTGATAAGTTACATTTAGTTCCCTGTTGGCTATAACCATAGACCTTGGTTATTTTCTTAAGTTATTACAACTCAACAGTTATATAAAGTATATAAATAAAAAAATCAATTGTTTAAATATAAATAAGGCCTTTCTGTATTTTTTAATAATTTTCCTCTACAATAACCTCAATCAATTTTATTTTTACCTGATTATAAGTATGAACAAACGTTATATTCGATAATTTATTCCCGACAGATGAAATAACCTATTTCGAACCCGTATACAAAGCCCATTTTTCTATAGCTCTGTATCCTGTGTCCTTTTCATACAGGTGGAATATGATCTAGTCAACTCTTTTCCCGATCACCTGCTACTTCTGCGCATCGACCGTGTGGATCAGCGTGCCTTGCCTCAATGCCTTACACTTTTGCCACGCTTTAGCCCCTACCAAGAAGAGTTTGCCTGTCTAGTCAACTCACGCTCCAAAATCAAGTTGTACAATTCTACCACCTTCCTCTGCCGGAAGACAGTAACTGCCCCTATAGAAGGCGTTCCATTTGTTAAGTAAGTAGTACTTAATCGGCGAACCAGCTGGTCACAAGTACGGATTTCCCTATTACTACATTTATAATGCTCTCTATTTTTCGGCACCCTTTGTTTCATAACCAGAACCTTGGGAAAGAAATAGGCATTATGGCAGGAAAGTGAATATTATAATCTCTTAGTTTCCTAAATTTAGAAATTTCGAACAAGAAATATTTACTAATTTCCTATATAAATGATTTAATATAATTTCCTTGAACGTCACGTTATTATTTAAAAAATGATTATGACAACAGCTCTGATCTTGATTCATTGACCCATTTCAACAAAGCATATGCTTTCAAGACGTGAAGTTCCACTTTGAACGAAAATTTGACTGGAAGTAATTCGTGAGGTGATCTAATTAAAAAACCGAAAGAGGATTTCCTTAGATTGACGACAGTTGTATTGTGTGAAGAATTCCTCGGCTCACCGTTCTGGTACCCCGATGAATTTGTGCTATGCTTTCCTCTGTATAGTGACAGACATCATCAGTACGGATACTTGCTCTGATGATGTTTGTCACAGTACAGAAAGCTTAGCACAAGTTCATCAGGGTCTCAGGACTGTGAGCCGAGGACTTCTTCGCACAATAGGACAGTCTTCAATAAGTGGCAATTCTCCTTAGGTTTCCGATGAGGCCATTTCTCCAATGTCTTCCAACCAACTTTTCCTCCAAAATGGAAAGTCATGTCACAATAAATAACTAAGGAATTCTTCGAAACAAAGTTTTTCATCATACTCTTAAGAGTCTAAGTGAATGAAAATGCCGTATTATTTATTATTTGGGTTTTATAATTTTTTTGAAAAACCTTTACAATAATTCTGAGAAAAATATGTTATTGGAGACTAAGCACTATCTATTCAGGCGCCCCGCTATACCAGACAATCCATCATCCTCAATGAATTAGATTTTACATAACAAAATAGGAATTTTACCATTAAAGTAAAAATGTAAATTAATTTTAATATTGTATAGTATAATAATTTCATACAAATCATTAACATATCTTCTTTGACTCTTTGTATTCAATGCGTCTACAATCAATATAACTATTTTACTAATACTCATTTTAATAAAATAGTTCGAATAAAACAATGCATATAGGCTATAAAATAGAGTAATATTATAGATACAAAGAGAAAATGGGTTTTGATAAATCTTCGGAGATAACATTGTTTCGGGACTTTCATTTCGTATAAAAAGTGCATGAAGAAGAGATTCGTAGGTCGATCTCACCAGAAGAGGACGAATGAATCGCCTTGTACTGCCGCCGTTTGGCTTTTATACAACGTTCAGGTTGACACAGTCCACGAGACCTCCTTCCTCGTTTTGGGTGAAAACGGGCTGAGCTTTCGTCCATCATTCGAAAGACATCATCAGAGCTGGGTCTCATTCCTGTATAAGTCTTAAGTTAGCATTAGGATAAGAAGAATATCCGGCTCTATCTTTCCTCAATGAAGCAAAATAAAATAAAAAACTTAAATAGATATATAATGGTTTGGCTTATTATCTTTCATATTGGTCCTGCTACTTTTGCTTGAATACGAGCATGTGTGTATGTATGTATGTGTTACCGTCTATACGCAATACCAGTCTTAAATCAGAGTTATCAAAAGGCTAATGTCAGGCTCTGATCATCAAGGCCTAATGACCCAAGCGAAAGCCCTGACCGAGACAGCGTAAGTCCGTAAGCAAGTATGATTGAGATAATGAGATATGAGCTTGTAAGCATGTAAGTCAAGTTACGAAACCACTTGACCTAATCTCTCGCTATAGGGTCATTAACGCTTTAACCCCCCAAGAAAAGGAACCTCTAGGGCTGTGTAATCTGGCAGGTCTGGTTTGGTTGATGAGCTTAATCTAGCATTTAAGACGAGTGTGAGTGAAGTCAGCGGTGGTGGCTCAACACACTCTTTCTCCTTTAATCTATCAATCCAGCATGAGTAGTTCCTACTCAACCTTTACAACCGTTCTTCACATTCAACATATTCTCTAGCCTATTAATCTCAATAGCCTCTCTTATCTTTCTTTTAACTACAAACGTGCTATAATCAGCAAACCTACTAGTTTGAGACCATTCTATTTCATGTCCAGTTTCTGCAATGTGTTCGGCAACTTCTGACCGTTGGACCTAGCTTCATTTAAGAGCATTTTTGTGTTAATTTTTGTAAACAAACAATCTTGTAGCAGCCGGATCTTGATAATGGGTCATATTTCTCTCTAAAAGATGGCAAATCAAAAGAAAATGTGAGGGTTTCTTTGAACACTGTTTTTATGCCCCACTCTCTTACAAATTCTTCTATCTTTTTTGACAGAAGGCATGACGACAAAATTAGGACATGGAAAATGGTCTCAATCAATCTATCTTTGAATAAATTGTCTCCATCTAAAAATGTTTTCCTCAATAAAGAAATATTATTCTCAATAAGGCACTAAAGATAATTATTTTCCTCAGCTGAGATGGTTCATAGTTTGATAATTTCCAGTATCAGACCGTAAACTTGGTTATTCCCAAACTTTGATCTTTATACCTTCAATATTACTATAGTATACTAAATGGCTTGCTATATACGGCAACTAAGTTGTTTGATATAATAACAAAAATTTAAAAAGTTATTTGTACTTCTTTTTTTCATTATAACCCTCCGTCTGATATCATCCTATTAGGGTGACTAGGTTTGTGTGTATCGCTTGTCAATAGGCTTTCGAAGGGTCTAAGGTATGAGGGCCAAAATGATGTGGCCTTTTGTGTGGTCGCAGTCTCCTTTCGTTGTATAGAGGTCTTTTGACCTTGTTTTCGCAACATGGTCATATTGGTAGGAAGACTTATAGAAATGCACCTTGTCCGGAGTCCATTAACTGCATGATCATTTCCAAAGTTGAAACATGGACGTGTGGTGGCAGGAGTCGAGTGAATTAAGTAAACAAGGGTTAGAGCAGACGGATTTTACAGAGCTAGAGGTAGACTAGGATAAGACTAGGAAAGAGGACTGCATAATAATAAAGCAGACTCTGATCAACATTCCCTGCAAAAGGATG